TTTAGCTATCCTCATTAGCATGACACAATTGTAAGGCAAAATTTACGTGATAATTTGAAATCAGCATCAAAAATCTATGTTGAATCATATATATTCTGGAGAAATTTTTTCCTGTGAAAAAAAGGTTAGTTTTTTACAGGGAAAGAATTTTTCTAAAATGTATTTAACTCCATATAGTTTCTGACGCTGATTTCGAATGTTACATTTATTTTGTTTTGCAATCGTGCCATGTTAATGAAAACCGCTAAAAATGAAAAATCACAATGTAGAAGAGACATTGTGAGCCTCGTTCGCCCAGAAGATGAACTATTTTTAATAGTTTTTTATCATCCCGTAGAGAACTAAAAGTTACATAACATAGCAAAAGTCAATTTGGATTGATTTTATTTTTAACAATAGTCGCAGATATACTGTCAAAAATCTATTCTTATGAACACATAAATTACGACCTATTCCATTCATGTTGGACTATATAACCCAAGCGAACAGATGATATGTAGTATTTGAAATAGTCAATTTTTTCCAGTTATTGATGCTCTATCTTTTGATATATGAAATGAAAAAATTCTCTGACTTGTCGAAGTAAAATTCTAGTAGACATTCATAAAGCAATTTATCATTACTTTTTGGATAATGCTAAAAAGTCGATCTAAACTAACTTTACTATAGAAGATTCGAATGAGCTAAATATTTAGACATTGTAATTTTAGATAATGACCTTTCGAATGTATGTACAAAAACAAAAATTTAAATTATGACTAATACTCTAGCTCCTAGATCCTCTCATGAATTGTCTCTTAAATACATACCAATCCCAAGCTGGTACACCTTGATAATAATATTGAAGAACCCAACATAAACCTCGAGCATAATTTTGTCCAACTTGTATACGAAATTCTTCCAAATCAGCTTTACTAACATTAAATTTATTTTTATAATATCTTTCACGCCAACCTTCTTCCCATAGTCGAACTGTATCATTTGGATCGTTTTCTTCTTCTTCATTATTAATTGAATCTTGTTGTTCAAGTATGGGAGTATTAGGTGTTTCTTGTTCCATTTCATCATGACCACGTTTTTTAGGTCGATCATTCGCTGAAAAGTCGATACGTTGCATATGACGTAATTGCACATTAGCTTGAGCTGGATTACTAATGTATGAAGTAGGTCGTTGACCAATTGGTTGTGGTTCTAGTTGAGGTGCTGCCATCCAAACAGGTAAAGCTACAGGTCTATAATAAAAAAGATTTTAAACAAAAATTCGAATTAACATTATAATATTCAATAGCGAAATAATATGTCCTGCAGAGGTAAAAGTAGTTCGCAATATGGTGATGGACTTGACTATACTTATATTGTTTCTATCTATACGATTATTAGCATATTATGTTGATTACGCATTATAGTAAAAGAATACATTCATGTCATATCTTTAAATCATAAGAATTTTGATATAAACTATGGCAGTGAGGAAAATTAAAATGATTATTGTCGAGATTTCTACTTGTTACTTATACTCGGTTAAGTATCCCTCTCTCTTTCCGAGGTTTCTTGAGAAAGAATGTTCAGGAAAATTTGAAATTTTCAGAGCATGTAGATCTTGACGAATGGAGTAAAGGTTGTCATAGACTCATAGTTCTCGGATGCTGTCTTCTCTGAGATACCGGGATCACAATCGCCCCAATTTTCGTCCTCGTTTCTATGAGATACTATGTTTGATCGAGCTGAAAATTATTTTTTGGGCATTGGACTGTTTCAAATGAATATCTTTTTATTTTCTGTTCTTCAATTACAAAAAGCCAAAATATCAAAATTACCCAAAAAAATGCATGTTTTTATGAATAGAGCTTTTTTTGTAAGAGCTACTCAAAATCAGCAGAAAAATATTTTCTTGAAACAAAAAAACGAAAGGAAAGGGAAGAGAGTACCTTTAAAGCTAAATTTAAATATCTAATGGTAATTACGATAACAGAAGTCATGATGGACTTGATTGGCTCAAACATTTCTGTAGTGAAAGATGAGTAAGTATAGGAAACAGAGCAAAGAAAGACATGAAATTGTCTATTCAGGTAAAAAAAAACAATTTAATTTTTATTATTATCATCAATTATCATGTCTACTTCTAATTCTATTCCTACTAAGAATGCGTATGAGTATGGATATTGATTTCACTTAAACCCATAGCCACTCTATCTTTTTCTCTTTTTTTTCAAGTATAGTTTTCATTGTTATGCTTTTTTTCTTTTTTTTTCTAAAAACTATGTTTATATAAAGAAATCAGTTTTCTCGTTTTTTTTTTTATTTAATTTTGTTCAGAGAAGTTATCTGATGCGATTAATTGTATGTCATAAACTGTGATTTAATTTACGGAATAAAAGACTATTACCAGCACGGCAAACTAACCAATCTTGGAAATAATATTCAGCAGGGCTACATATAAGTTCAATAACTCGAAAACAGCAGTTATTAACAACCTGTGAGTTTTAGAAATCCAAATAGGATAATTTTGCATGTCTTTTTATCTGAAAACATTTTTAAAAATGCATGAAAATGATGTTTCATTTCAAGGAAATTTTTATCAAATCTCAGAAAATTTGCTAACAATCAACAAAATTCTATATAATTTGACCAAATAGATACAAGGTTTTGTTTGCTTAGCTTTGAGATATGAGAAGATAATTATTTGAATCCTGTCTTGAATTATAGATCTGACTTTACTCTATCTAAAGCACATGTCACAATCAAACTTACAGCGAAACAAAACACTATTTCCATACATTTTTTTAAATGTTTTGTCAAGATGATGGGTTTTGAAATAATTTTGTCTTATATAGTATCAGACAAAAAAATCGTCTAGAGTTCTTTTCTTTGGATTTTTGAAAATCACAGGGCGCTAACTTTTGTCATTATTGAGCTTACATCCACCATTCTTTAATTCTAGCGTGGACATTAAATAGGCAGTCCATGGGTTGACTTTCCTAGGTCAAACCTAGCCCATTAGGAGATTCGTACGATAGCTTTGAATTTTATCTTTAGAACAGGTTTTGTTGTTTCATTTATAAAAAGCTGGACAAAGAAAAGTTTGTATTTCCTCAGTTCTATTACTATAAATATTCATTTAAAATATAAAAATAAACATACTCATTTCGTTCTGTTGTCGATCGAAGTCGTTTATTAGGTGGTTGATAATTATTTGAACGATTTCGTTCACGTTGTCGTTGTTGTTGATCAAATTCATGTCGTTTCATAAATATTTCATCTTCCATTCTACCAATACTTGTTAAAATAATTTCAACACGTTCCATATTTGGTATACCATTTTCAGTTAAATAACCTTTAAATTTAGGTATATTATCTTTATATATACGTATAAGACGATCAATAGCATTTTCACGTATTTCAAGTGATGGTAAATGTGGTAAAAAATCATTTCCAACAAAAAAACACATAAATACCCAATCATCAATAGCACGTTCAAGATCCCATTGAAATGGTAATTGATAATGAATTTCTAAATCTCGATAAAGATATTCACGTAAAACAGAAATTCTTACAAATATATAACGAGTTTCACCATAATTTTTTGCTGCTATCAATTCATCATGTTTACCAAATTTTTCTTTTGCAATACCTTTACATTCTTTCATATCATGTCCTAATTGTCCACATATATCACATGGACGTGGTTTATTTGGTTTAAATTCTTCACGTATTATTGTAAAATATGGTTCATGTGTTGCTAAACCAAGCATTATTAAATCAGCATCAGCACCACATAAAACATGATGTGTATTTGGATCATGATCTGGCTGTGCACGTTGTCGACGTATATAATCCATTATTTTATGTTCACCTTCACCAGGTACATTTGCATCGGATAAAATAATTTTTATTGCACGCCATGCTGGATTTGAATTCATTCGATGTCTTATATAATAACGAAGACAATCAGCTAATTTTGACATAAATGGTGTACCTGGTGTAATACAATTTGAATCAAAATGTTCACTTTTTTCTTGTTGATTTTTATCTTCAGGTAAAAGACCACCATTAGCACGTATTTCATTTTTAATTTTTTCCATTTGTTCAGTTTTATCAACTGTCTCTTTTGATGCTCGAAAACGTCTTGAACGTTGTTGATTCATTTTAGCTCGTGGTGCAACACCATCAATAGCCATATAAAGTAATTTACGTGGACGAACAATTGAAAATAAACGATCAATACATTCAAATATTAATATCATCATTTCATCTTCATTTTTTGGTGGTGGACGATCTTCCGGATGTGTACATGGATGAATTATTCCATTCATATCTAAATAAAGATTGTCAAACTAAACGAGAAAAAAAAATACAAGTGAAATATTTTTGAAATTATTGTGTTTTCTGTTTTTAATATTTACTTCGATTCCATTTGGATTCGGACGAGTTTCATCTAATGGATGATAAACACCTTGAGCATCTATAAAATTAAATGAAAAAAATTCAAAGAAAAGATTATTTAAATTTTTTTACCTGTTGAAGGATTATCTTCAATACAATTAACAATAATTGATGGATATTTTTTTGTTAACCAACGAAAAAATGCTGGAACTCCCATATTGTTATATCAAGCAAAAAATGTAATCTATAGCCAACAATAAAGAATAAATATTAATTAAATACATAAGGGAAAAATACTTACATGTTGATAAAGAAAAAAAAAGTATTTTGTTTTGGAAAGAAATATACTAACAAAATAGAACAATTGATGTAACAACAACACACAAAGAAAGATTCTTCGAATGATTCAGAAAATATATATAAGTCTTTGGTAAGAATAATAAACGAATACTGGAAAAGTTCAATGCAGATGTCAGCAGATTACGTTAATACAAGATTGACTATACTTTCTATAAAATCTAAAAATCTATTGTATCAAAATCGCAAGCAAAACTTTTATTGATTAAAAAAAAAAAAAAAAGAAATGTTCAAACATAATCCATTCGTGTCAATTATAATTAAATAGTACAATAACGCATCATACATGCTGGTGCTGGTGGTAAAAGATAGATATAGTAAGAATCACAATTTGCTACACTAATACTAGAAGAAAATCGGCATACACTATTATACCATGTAAAACATGCAGTACCATTTACAATTGCACCTGTTGATGATGGCATTGTACCATCATACCAACCAGTACCTTCGGAACCACATAGATTCATACCAGGTGTTTGTAAAGGTAATGTACTACCACCTGTACCTATAAATCTTATCCAAACTGGAAATGTTCGATTAATGAATGGTGATGTGTTATCACAACCAAGTGCATAACCTGCTGCTGATATACTTCGAGTTGGATCATCAATAGTTGTATAACTTGAACATGAAGATGGCAAACTTCCTGATGATGATGAACTTGATGTTGTTGAATTTGTTGCTATAATATAAAGGAATTCTTTTAAAATGTATTACTTAGCAATAATAAAAAGCAATTCTTTTTATCAACAAAAATAAATAAATAAGAAAGCAGAAAGGTCATGCATACCTAAGTTAGCATAGACAGTCGATCGAAGAAGTAGAACAAGTATCAATGCAGTAAGGCTAAGTGTAAATGCAATAAGACCCAGCATAATCCCAACAATAGAACTCATAAAACTTGCACTAGAACTTGCATATTGTCCTATACCAGGACCATTGTAGTGTCTTGCATAAAAAAAACTGAAATCAATAATTATTTAATTGAATAACCTACTTTGCTTGTTTATTTATTGTGATACTACTATAATCTTTAACATCTTTTTTTCGTGGATGATTTTTGCCGTCGTTGAGTAAAAATTCTTGATTGAATATTTCAGATTTTGCCGTGAAATTATTAGATGTTATCAAAGGAATGGATGATGTTGTCAAAGGATTCGATAAGGTTTGTGATGAATCAAGATGTGAATTAGCTCGTACTGTAAATGAATTAAGATTTCAATTTCTGAATTTTTTTTAATGAATTAACATTGAATTTCTTACCTAATGGAGTTGGATTAGATTTGTTGAATGACATTGTTGATTCTATTTGTGGTATACGAGTAGCTTGCATTTGATGCATATGATTTTGTTCATCTTCTTGTACATGTGCAGTTTTTGATGACTGTTCTCTCTTCACTGTAGTTACGCTCACCCTTCCCGATGTTGCCGTTTTCCTCATTGATGTTGTTCTAGTCGACTTTGATAATCGATTACCTGTTGGTTGACGATGATCTTTTTCTTCATCATCTTGTTGTTCGTCGTGAGTTTCCTCTTGTTCATCATGCTTATTCTGATGTTTCAGTCGTTCTTTTTGTAATTGTGCCATAAATTCTTTCTAAAATGATTCAATAGAGTATATATACACTTCTAATATAATTTGTTTTAAGCTTACTCGTCCAATACTTTGCACTCGAATATTGTCTTTCGGATCTCTATTTGGTACTGCTATAGATTGAGATCGTCGACGTGCCGTTCGTGATACATGTGCAATATGGACAGTAGGCAATGGTGTGGCCATCGTCAAACTTATTTTATACAAACTGATTCAATTCAATCTTATTTCTAATGTTTTTATTCAAATAATGAAATAAAACAAAAAAGAATAATAGAATTTATTCTTATAAGAATCAGCAAGAATTATATGTAAATCAGTTTTTATTTGTTGTGAAGCCAATTTGACTGTAGAACGCACTTTATACATTCTGTTTTTTTTCGTTGTTCCATGAAAAGGATTCACGCTATTTGACAACAACACTATAGTAATCTTCATTCTTTTAAATATTTCGGTGTATATATATACGATCATGCAATTTTACTGATTAAAACAATCTCATGAGCTGCATATAATGGAATATATAATCAATTTTTTTTATTACGTTTTTCAAATTATTATTTTTTCTCTCTGAAAAAATAATCATAATTTTTTTATTTATAAGAGAAATGGGTGTACTCTTTATTTTTCTACAAATTTGATTATATAGAATCGATGCAAACAAGCATATAATACTTGTTGAATAGTTTCAAAAGATTGACCTTCAAATTTCTCCAGGTCAAAACAAAATGTACATTGATTAAAGTTTTTGTTTTTGTTTTATTCTCAATTATCTTTCGAACATTATGAAATTCACTTTGAATTATATTTGTTTCTTTAATATACAGTTGTCTTGATATTAGTTTATGATAAATATGCAAGATAGGCCATAAATAGCACGACGAGAAAATATTAAAATATCGTCGCTTCGGTTCGCTCCAATGAGCTGATTGTTTTGTTGATCATTGAAGCTTATTTAATGTTTTTTTCATATGGATTACGTAAACAAATACTACTGTTAAGTAAGAAAAATACATAGGAAATGTTTCATAGATAATTTTCAGTTGTTATGGAACAGAATAATAAGAAGAAATCAAAACAAATTATATTCATGCACATGCAACATGTTTTCCAAACTAGTAGTCAATTTAAATGTCGAAATTCGTGTTCTATTGCAGTCCTTTACATACCAATTTCCTTGCAAAAACCAATGTTCCATATTTGAAAATTCAAAATTTTGTAACCGTTGACTTTTAAACTAACCACTGCCGAAAATCTGCTCTATGTATATCAACATAGTGTCAATTTATAAAGTACATTTTGATTTGTTTTTATTATTATTGCCTTAGAAACCAAATGAAAATTATCTATGAAACGCTTCATATGTATTTGTTGGAGGCAATATTGGAATTCCACTAGAGATAAAGTCTAAACAGAATAACTATTTTTATTCAATAATATCCTTTTTATTTTCGTAAACATTTTACAAGTCAAAGTACTGTAGTGTATTTACCCATATTTGTACAATCACCTCTCTCAGAATGACATTTTGCCGAACAGAAAACTCCCATTTTTTTTTTACATAAACTTTCTTTTATAACACTTTTTTCTCGAAACTTTTCACTTTAGGAACTAATATGTTTTTCTAATTCTGTATAATAAAGCGATTCCGCATTATCGATTTGAATGGTTGTTAGGAATGTGAGATGTGGATGTAGAAAGATCTACACCCCACGCTCATACCTATGCCAGAGCCTGTTGAGTCTAAGATTTTCAGACCCAGATCCGGCTAACAGAAAAGTTTCAAACCTGAGTCCGACCCAGACCGAAATCAATCTGACAGATTCTAACCTACACCTACCTTTGTACCCATATGATAACTACCTGGAAACTACCACCGATATATTGTTCTGTATAATGTACGCTATACCAACGTTTTTTTTCTTCGGAAATATTGTATTAAAACGGGTGAATATTTTTGATGCCTGTTAAAACTGACAGACCTGAGTCGTTTTCAATGTACTTTGTTAATGTGAATGCGTCTGAGCCGCCTAGACTGGCCGTGAAGCCTAAGTATGCCCCAGTTATGAAATAAGTTTTATGATAAATGGCACTGCAAAAATTTTATGATCAAAATATATTCTGAACCTATTTTCTTCGGTTAATTTGAATTCTTTCTAATAAATAATTCGAGTTTGGATAGGAAACATCCTCTGGAACCGTTTATAACTGGAACTGAAAGCTGTAAGTGCTACTGCCGATTCTTATGAGTACTACGATATACCGACGATAGTGCAAACAAACGTGCGATATACGATATTATCCGAATTGATAACACCTTGTCTTAAGGTGAAATATTTTGTTTTTAGTAATTAAACATTTGATCTATTCCGTTGAGATTATTTGTGTTAAGAAGAAAATATATTGTCTTTATTAAATATCGACATATATATTTATTTTGTTTCTATTCAAGCACAAACAAGAAGAAGAGATCACTCTATACAATATATACATTTAGAATTAATGACGATAAAAAATTTTCATAAATTGTTCAATTGAAATAAGATTTCGTTTTAAAATATTTTCATTTTGAATATTAATTGATCGATGCATTATTTTCGGGGTCGGATAAAGAATGGATGATTGATTTAATACAGTTACTCGATGTTTTATTGATTCATGTGATGATTTTGGTGTTGATCGTATTTGTTGTCGAGATTTTTTATTTTTAACTAATGTTTTATTAAATAAACGTTTATAAATATATTGAATAGTTCCAGTAAATGAGTTATTTGATTGTAATATTTTTCGAGCATGTTCATCATTTACAATAGTTTGAAGTAAAAAGCAAATTTGTTCAAATAATTCACAATCAGTTTTTTGATAATATTTTAATAAAAGCATAATAAAATCTTTTATTTGTTCTGATTTATCAATTAATTTCATAATAAGATTATGTTTAACAGTAAATAATTGTAAAATATTTAATACTTTACGAAGTAAAACAGTTAATCGTCCACTTCGATTACAACATCTCATTAAAAGAAAAAATAAACGTAATAAACCGTGTTGAGCTATTAAATAACGTATTTCAATACAATAATTTATAATTGGTTCTATATCACGTATAAAATGTAAATAAACAGTAAGAGAAGATGCTGATAACTCACAATATTCTTGTACAATTTGTATTATACGTTCATGTAATGTTAATGATGAATTATTTTTTGAATTATATGAACGAAATTTTTTAAGAATAGCAACGACGGGATGATTATTACGTTCATTATCAACACGAACTTGATGTCCACGCCAATGAGCCTAAAAAGAACATTAGTTTGTAACGAAAAAGATGTGCTCAATGATTTTTTTTTCATAGAATATCTATCATAGAAAGTCTACTTTGAAAACGATATCCAAAAGAAAACTCTTTAATGTCAAGTGTCATTTTAAATCGAGTATATATCGGCTTATAGCACGCTAGAAAAACAACATTAAGGATCAAGCATTGGAAATCATAACCAATTGATAATGAATAGAGATGTATGGAATTACGAGAAGTTTCTCCATTAGAACTAAAGATTATAGTTCAATACTCTATAGTTTTAATCCTTGCGTTACGGGATTTTTTGCAAAGATGACAAAAAAATGTGGATTTCCTCGTAGGAGTCTGTAATCAAATAGATACGTCAAAGAAAAACAGCAGATTGCGTTAGAGTTCAACCAATATCATAAAATTCAGTATTTGCAGAAACCTTCGCGTAGTTCAGTGAGTAACCTGTGATTTCATATCATGATATAGATCTAATAAAATTGAACATCTTATCTTCTGTAAGATGAGATCTGCATAAAAGTTTAGTCCGTATATATAGGAATCCCGTAATCAAAGAGTTAAGCAAATTATCTTATAAATCATATTGATCAGAACATTATATAAGAGAGATGACCCAAAACAGTGTTAGTCGTCAACTAAATAAATCAAAAACAATAAGTAATGAAAAATTTTTAGATGTGATACGAATATATTCTAGGATAGTTTTCTCTAGATTGTGCTCATTAGAAAAGAAGTTACTGAGATTGGGACCAAAACAACTTGATTCTGCACATCTTTATTAAGAAAGTAAGCCAAGTCATACTTCTTGCAAGATAACTAGCAGATAACTAGAATTAAAATGCGATCATGCATAGTCAATCGTAGTACAACTGAAGAAGGTACCTCAATAAGTTTGATCATAGTTCTTGTAAAATTCAACTCTCTTGTTAAGACCTTCATCATGACATTTAAAGACATATGCTTAATCCAATATATTAAATTCGTCAAGCTTCAAATCTAATATATTCGATTAGAATTAGGACAATGGGTCTGTATAAAAGTGAATTATTATATTGAATGCACTGAAGACGTACAGACTTAAATACATGAATCTTCTAAACTTCTGTCAGAAATAATTTTAAAAATTTTTATAAAATCCAATAAATCTTCGTCTTCCAAATGACAAAAATAGGATTTAAAATAAAGTAATGGTTGATTCTTCAAAGAAGACAATATAATCGGTGATGAGAAAGTGTTTTAGACAAGATGCTTGTTCACTTTTGATCCACTAGAAAGTATTTCCCGACGAGATAGAACCAGAACTTTGAGTTCTTTTCGAATACGGGCTTAGAAATTTTGTTCAAGAGTAATGAAATGGTCTTTGAAAAGCTCAAAAAAATTTGTTTGAACAGAATATTTTCACTATTGTAATTCGAAACTAAAAGTTGCGATCTTAATTCATACATCAGATTGTAGATTAGAAGCTACACTAACAAATGCATAATTTAAAATTTCTTTTTTTATCTTTCGACAAGGCATCTCAATTTTCATTTTTTCCAAATACTCATTTTTGAAAAATCGACAACAGGGTAACATTGAAATAATCTCTTGAAAAAATGCTTGAGTAAAAGCGACAGAATAGTTCAATATCATAGTTTGTAAAGAAGTGTTCGCTTTCCAAAACGATCGACTTCAGTAATTTTTAGCACGTTCGAAGAAGAACTTATAGAATAAACAAAAAAAACCTGTTGGGTCACTATTAAAAATAATTTTTCAGATATTTCAAAAAGTCTCTCACCACTCTTGAATGAAACTATACACAACATTTTTAAGTTCATATTCGAATTCTGGTCGTGACCTATAGTTTTTAACTCGTCTGAAATACTTTCAAGTAGGTCAAAATGAACAAACATGTTCATTAGAAACATTGGCTGGCAAGTTTCATTCATATTATATTTTGGGCTTTTCGAAGATTATTTCACTACTAGATATGGGCAAGATAGTCCTGCGACCAGGATCAACACTTTTTCATCAAAAGTTATATCTTTTACGGTCGTGTAAAATTTGCATTAAATATCATATTCTCGCGGCTTATGTGTGTAGAGGTTGTGCAAGGTATCTCGAGCTCATTTACACTACCATAAAATGATATCACAATTTCCCCTAGTCCATATATTACTAAGTGCAAAACCAGGAGCTAATTTTTTTTTGACCGAAATCGGGACCAGAACTGATTAGCTTTACTCATCGCTACTCTCAAACAAAATTTATAAACGTATATTCGAAAAGAGCACAAAACTCTGGTCCCACCTCATTGAAAATACTTTCTAACAGATCGAAAGTGAACAAACATCTTGTCTAAAGACTTTTCGATCATCCATTAGTTTCAGATATCACTAAATAATAAATTCATATATCGTCAACAGAGTAAGAGATCAGGCAAAGCAGATCAATATTGAAATAATTTCAAAAATTTATGAAATCTAATAATTTACTTGAAAAACTTGCGCAGCATAAATTTCACGTTCTGTTTCTGATTGTTTTTCATTCGATATTTGTCTAATAGATTGACTATTATAATCAATTGATTTTTCATTTTTACATGTTTGTTGTTGTTGATGAGATAAAAACGATATAAATATTTCTTTAATCATTTTTCTATTAACTGGATCAATAAAAGATATCTGTAGAAAACAAGAAAATTTAACAAATATTTTCTTTTTAGTTAAACTTACTTCATCTAATTTATTTAAATCAACATTATCAATTTCAGATGAAATTATTTCATCAATAAGAAATAAAGATGCACTATTCGAAGGATTTTTATTTTCTTCATTTTCAATTGTTTTTTCTAATTCAACAAAGTCATTTAATGATATTGTTGCTGCAAGTGATATTCGTTGATGATGTATATTTGTTATTGAATCAAATGAATTTTCATCATCATCCTCATCACTATCATCTAATTCCGACAATAATTCAATACGATCAAGAATATCATAATTCATTGTATTTAAAACTGATTGTGAAAGTACTCGTAATGGTATTGGTTCAGATTGAATTATAGGAATAGAATAGATATCTTTATTTGGATAAAGAATTGTTGTAGAAGATGTTGAAAATTGAAGATTTAATTTTTCTTTAAGATGTATATTAATTGATATAGAATTGTCCGAAGAATTAATTAAATTCTCTTGATTGATTTGAATTTCTTGTTGATTTATTAATTGATTATTAATTAACTCTTTATTTTTTATTTCATTTAATGATTCATTATCATTAAAATATTTTTCTTTTAATTCTTTAAATATTTGTTGATGACGAAAATCATTTCGATTATTATTATTATTATTATTTGAAAAAATTAAATCATATGCAAACATAGCTAAAATAATAATTGTACATCTTTCATCAGGTACATCTTTTGCATAATATTCATATTTAATAAAATCCGTTGAAAATGTACCAAATTGTTTAATACACTCTTCTAATAAATGAAAATTTAATTTAACATTTCGTTCATAAATATTTATTAATTGTTGTTGTCCAAGTTCAAGATTAAATTTTATATGTTCCTGACGTGTTTGACATGTTTCTAATGTTGTGAAATGTTTTATATCACGTTTATAATCGCATAAAGATGGTAAATAATATGAAATAACATATAATAATGCACGACCATCAGCAAATGATTCTTGTAAATCATATAACCAAAATTTATAATGTGCACAAATTAATTGTATCCATTTAATTAATAAATGAATAGTTGATGGTATATTAATATGTTGTTTTTGTAAAGGCACAATATCAATTGTAATAAGTTGTTGTTCAATAGAACAAGATGTATATTTTAATAGATTTTTTTTAAGAATTAAAATTTCTTGATTTAATTTTTCTATTGGTGATAAGTTTTTAGATAAATAACAAACAATAAATATACGCCAAAGTAATTCAAGAGTACATTGTTTGTTACCATTCATAATATCTCTACTTGAACTAGAAGAAAAAAAGTTGTCAGTGAAATTTTCGTGATACAAAACCTATTTACTTTTCTAATCGCTTTCTTACAAAAAACTACTGGATTATAAGTTATCGATCATGCTAATTTGAAATATAGCAATAAAAAAATCTCCTTAGATCTTCATGTATTGGTTCTCTAGAAAACTAGTTTTCTAGACTAATAAAAACTTTACCAAAATCATTTGTAATCTACTCAGATTATAGAGCATATCAAATTCTCTATAAAACAATAATCTTTTCTGTTTTCAAGTATGAGTTTCAAGTAAAAATACTATTCATCTTGAATATTTTCATAGTAAAATATTGATATGTATGTGATGGCTGTGTTTTCTACAAAAAAAACCGATGTGAAACAGAAAAATTTACCGTTTTCTAGGCAATTCGATATGCTCTATGCACTGAACAGATCAAAAACAATTTTGAAAAAAAGTTTGTTAGTCCAGAAAACTGTTTTTCTAGAAAAACAGCATATAAAGACCTACGGGAATTTCTCATGATCATATTCGGAATCGACATGATCTATAACTCATAGTCCACTAACTTTCGGTGAGAGAGTAGTTGATCAGCTGAAAAAGCATATATAGTATGTAAATCTAATATTGATACGAGTAAGAATATTTTGAAAAATGATGAATGATTTCAGTCGGATCGAATTCATCTTTTGAAGATTTTCGATTCTGTACGATATTTGTTACCCGTACTGTTATTTTATCGCATGACTTCTTAAGCCTATTATAAAGCAACATTCATGCACTGAGATTATGATGAAAATCAATTTTTTTCAAGCATAATTCTACAAAATTTAATCGAATCAAATAACAACAAAACAAAATTTCATAATCTGATTTAAGAAAATATCCTATTCTCACTTTATATGATATTAAAAAACCTGTCTTAATAGAGTTCCTACCCACTATCACAAAAACTTAGCCATGTTTTGAATTCTAATATAAACTAATTTAAAACATCGATTATCTTTAAAAAAAAATTATATTCTCCGAACATACATTTCAGTTAAATTAACATGTCCATATGTTTGAAGTAATTCAAAAGCTTGATCAATATTAAGTAATTTATGAACACGATTAACTACTGGACATTTTAATTTAGTTGATAAATCATATGTTGCAACATATTCATTTGTTGATGATAATAATATTTGTGCACAACGTGTTAAACGAATACCATCTTTTAAATCTTCAAATAAATTATTTTCATTATTTGTTAATAAATAATTAAATTCATCAAGTGATCTTTGTCTATATATTGGTTCATATCCAGCTAATTTAAGACGACGTAAAAGATTTGTATCTGAACTAATAAAATCACGTGATAAAATATCAATAGATTCTTTTGTTGATTTAATTTTTGAATCATAATTATATAAACATGGATCATTATCAATTAAACGTAATAATTTTGCACGTTCAAGAAAAATAATAATTATTAGTAAATTTTTAATTGTTGAACGAATTTGTACTGAAGCAATTTTATTATTATTATTATTATTATTATTATTATTAGTTGATTGAATAAGATATTCATCAATAGTTAATTTCATTTGTTGATAATTTTCAATATTTATTGAAAAAAGAACTTCCATTGCAAGACGAAACCATATTCGATTATATGATGATATGAAATTTAATAATGCTTGTCGACTAACTGTTCTTGCAGAAAAATTTAAATCACATTTAGGATTTATTCGACAATGATTAATATCAATATCAGTACTGATTTTTATAGCTATGCTTTGTATATCATGTATAAAGATTTCTCGAGCATGATCACGTAATGTATACCAACGATTTGATTCAGCTAAAGATTTAAATGTTTTTGTTGTTGTTGTTGTTTCTTCATTTGATATGGTTTGATTTACAGATGTATTACATATAAATTCTACAGGTGTAAATAAAGTATTGAGCCATATTGTATATGCATGTGTGTGTTTATCAATGGTATTGTTTGTTGAAAGATTAAAGGGAATACGTGCTCGTATAGCTGGTTGAAAAGACATTATTGAATGAACTTGCTTTAGAAGAAAATAGTTTGTTAAAAGAATATGAACAAAGAAAAACGTACTTGATGGAAGTTCAGGAACAGATAATGATGAATCAATATGTGTCTTTACGTTGTCAAAGATTTTGGAATATGAGCTTTACATATTATTTAAGGTGATGGTCTAAGTTTTCATTGATATGAAGCTATCACGACGACGAACAATTAGATTCGTCATAGTTTAAACCAATAGGAAAGAAAGAACAGAATACCGCCATCAATCCATAAAATACCAATATACTTTTCTTAGTTATCATAGTCCAATACAATTGAAATTCAGCTTAAAATTAAATTCAAATAGCAATAGATCGAAATATAGATTGATAGCAGCAACATCAATTATTTCCATATCACCAAAATGTGTTTCATGAATTAGATCATGTTCATTATAGGCAGCATTAGGTTCTGCATCGAATAGTACTATTTATATAAGGTCGACGTACTTCAAAGCAGACAATAGTCCTCATGAATACAGTACCACTACAATTTTTGACGGATGATGGCACTAATAATCAATTGAGGAGCATCACTAAAGTATGTCTGATATACATAGAACGTGATCTGACCGGTGTAGTATTTAATTCTCTACCTATGTTATTCTTATTCATCGAAGATGATGAGCCAAAAGAGAAAACATCTCATAAATACCGTAACCACCAGTATAGTTTGTGTAACGCATCTAACTACGTCCATCAGATGCTAAACTTAATTCTCAATCGAATAGTATCACTTTCGAAGACGAGAAAATATTTCATCAATGCTATAAGATCACAGTTTTTGAGCAATGACGATATCAATACTGTTTTTTTTCATATCGTCGAAGTACGTGTAGTGACTTCAATTAAATCCATTGGATTTAGAAATAACTTCTGTATCTTCTACATTCAATTCGATTCACCATACATATTTATGTGGTATTGACAAAACCGATGTTGATGTCATTATATATGAAAAAATTTAATGACACGAAACCTATGAGAAAATTTCTCTCCTTGAAATTACGTCCGGTGGACACAAAGAACACCATGTAATAGAGAATTTCAGTTCTGCATTTGATAGATATACTTCAATTCCCTGAACATACTTTGATAATGTTGAAAAAACTTATGTTGCTATCATCATA